ATAGATTATTGATAGATAGATAGATATGCCAGATGATAAATAGATTATTGATAGATAGATAGATAAATAGACAGATATGCCAGGTGATAAATACATTATTGATAGATAGACAGACAGATAGACATGCCATAAGATAGATAGATAGATATGCCAGATGATAAATAGATTATAGATAGATAGACAGACAAGTCAGATGATGGATGGATGGACGCATGGACGGACGGGTGGATAAGACCTAGGAGCTGACACATGGAGAAGTAGGTGGGGGAGGAAGGGAAGAAGGCAGGAAAGCGTGGAAACACAGGTGGACATTTTCACGGACCACAGAGATGTCAGAATACCGTATTGATATCGGTGCTTACGTGGACACCATGACAGTTCTGAGGCCCCCTGGGGGCGATGTCCCTGCTGGTGGCCTTTGCAGTAGACCTGGCGCTCACCTGGGCAAGGTGGGTGGAGCCAGTGCTCTTAGCTGGCTGATCGGTGCCTCCTGGGCGGCTCGCAAGATGGGTTGGCTCTGCTCTGAGCCCTAGCAGGATGCAGCCTCCTGTCCGCTCGGGCCCTGCTGTTCATACGCTCCTTTTTGGCCACGGGAGTAGACACTCCCGGGAGCATGCTTGGTTCCTAAGGCAGTCAGTCGGCTCTCCCTGCGGGAGGTGCCAGAGCTGCTGGTCAGCCCCAGAGGAGACAAGGCCGGCGGGAGGACTGAGCGTGCAATGCAGCGTGAGGAAGCAGCGACTAACTTGAATCGCGGTGCCGGACAAGAACATGGGAAGTACCGGGGACTGGCAACAGATCCAACCAATCTGCCCTGGAAGAAGCAGAGGCAGAATGCTCCTTAGAAGCAAGGATGGGGAGGCTTTGCCTCCTGTCCCCAGGAGAGACCGGTCTGTGGAGAAGGACGCTGTGCTTTGTACCCTGATCGAAGTGGAAGTTGGAAGTGCCCTCCCTGGACCCCGGCATGCATTCAGAGAGGAGTCCGGGCCATCCGGCATAACAGCGATGGTACCAGCACAGCAAGCCTGCCCTTTACCCAGCTGGACACGTAGGGCCAGCCCGCGAGGACAGAGAATGGATGGTGCTGCCTCGGGAGAGGGCAGACCGCAAACCAAGCTCCCTGCTCTTCTGCCGGAGAGAGGAGCCTTGGACAGTGTAGCATTGCCCTGGTGGGTTTCCGAGGCTGACAGTCTTTCTGGGAGCAAAGAGCCGGTGGGTTTGAACCAGGGACCCTGCAGTTAGCATCCCAAGGCATCACCCACTACGGGCCCCCAGGGAAGAGGCGCGTAGTTCAGTATTTAGTTTGTCGACATTTGGCAAAGGGTTGCTGGCATCTCGACCAGAAAAGGGACCTGTTGTCCATAACTGTTGCCGGGGCAGTTGGCCAGCCAGGTAGGGAAGATGGATTTTAACTCTAATTCCCCAGCGGCCACAAGATTGAACTCAACATCGGCGAAAGACGTAAAAGCAGGAATTGAAATTCCTAACCTGTTAGAACAAATAGACACGTGGTTGGGCTAATGTGCCTTCGATAGGAGCAGAGAAAAACAATGAAAAAAACTGATAAATTGTACCCCATCAAAAGGGTGTGTGTGTGTACACACGGGCACGCATTTTCACTATGAATACATTCCCCTTTCCATCGTTCCCTGGTTGAATGAAAGCGCGCCGATTAGCTTAAGGAGATCCGTATGTTGCTATAGAAACATGAATTAAAATACGTTCTGAATGGAGAAGGCTCTGCTTCCTAATAGAGGCCGTTCTGTCTACGCCGCTCACATAGCTCATTTCTATATGGGGGTGCGGGGAAGGGGGCGGGTTTGGGGCAAGTATTTTTACGTTTGGGGAATCCAATCAGCCGTCCATTCGGGGCATGACATAGCGTTGGAATCGGGTCTCTCCGGGTGAGCTGTGATTTAATAACACCGTTGGGCTATTTGGACGGAGAGCTGAGGTGTCACCGTCCAGCCTGGTGGGACGTCTGGGCGTGAAAAGGGCTTTGTGACGTCGTGCTAATGACTGTGGTACACGAGGCAATTGAAGGGCGCCTGAGGGGGTTGGACGGCGCTGGGTGGTGCGTGTTAGGTAAAAACAAGGTGGAATTCGAGGATGGGGGCTCCTTTCTTGTCCCCGCACCAAGATTCATGGATTCCTGTTGGCAGGTTGAAGGCTATCGGGAGGACACTTATTTGACAAAAACCAACCATCCTTACCCATCAGCGCGCCCGTCACCAGAGCTGACTGTTAAACATATCAAATTGCCAGGAGTTCACCTCTGTGTGGTGGGGCTGCTCCCACAAAGCATCCGTCTCGGAAGCCCCCAAGAGGCCGTCCACCCTGCACCATGGGGTCGCTGTGAGTCGACGTGGAGTTGAAGCAGCGGCTTTGGCTGGGGCTTAGCTGGGGACCCTGGCGTGCCGCGGGATAGGAATGATCTGGGTGCTCTGGGAAAGGCCGACAGGTTCATCAACGCCCGTGGCCAGTTGTCCCTCCCCCTGCAAGGTTGTTTGCTATGAGACGGCATCAACTTGGTGGCCATGAGCGTGGAACGGTTGCTACCTCCGGTGGCGACCACCGCCCCCCACCCCCAAATGAGAACCAGACCCACTGCCAGCGAGACCGTTCTGACACGGGTGACCCTATAGGGCGGGTAGAGCCGCCCCCTGCGAGTTCAAGAGACTGAAGCTCATTAAGGGGGCCCAGAAAGCCTCTTCTTTCTCCCAGGAAGCCACAGGTGGTTTCAAACCGCTGACCTCGCAGCCAGCAGCCCACCGGGTAATGACCGACCCACAGGGGCAGCAGGGGAGTGCAAACGTTTCCAGAGAGGCAACTGGGTTTGCCTGAACCCAGCCTCTCTCTCCTGTCCCCACAGGGGACTCAGAGACCGTCCCTGGTTGATGGAGAAAGCACTTGGGTCCCCTGTGATCTACTCCGTGCAGAAAACACGTGCCATGGCCACGGCCACTCCACAATTCAGGGGGAATTAAGTGCTTCGATGCTGGTGTCCAAGAGTAGCGATCGGAATGGCACCTTTCATGCCTGGGCCCCGGGGCATCCTTTCTGTTTCGCGGTGGCTGTGTGTCCGTGGACTAGAATGGCAGGGCTCGCCGTTGCCATCAAGAGCGACAGTCTGGGAAGCCCACGGGGGTGGTTCCACCCTGCCCGTCAGGGTCCCTGTGAGTCGGCATCCACTCCCTGGCAGTGAGTCGGGTTTGGGGACGCGTCTGTTGGTGCATTTTGCTTCTTGTGGACTGTCCGGTGCAGACGACGCCCTTGGGGTGACCCAGGTAGGTGTGTTGGTCTGACTTTACTCCCCGCCCCCCAGCCCCCATGTCCCTTTCCAATCCCAGCAATCGGAGCAACGACTGCTCAGACGGTGATGCGTGTGCAAGAAATGTCTCAAGGCAGGTTTGGATGGACGGGGCATTTAGGGAACGTGGACGGGGTTTTGGTGGTGCTGTGCTTAAGAAGATGCCTCTTACCCAGAAGGTCAGTGGCTGACATCCACTGACGTCCCCTACGGGACAGCGATGTGGAAGCCCACATCCTGAACGGTGCTTGTGAGGCAGGGTCCACTCAACAGCAGGGGGTCTTTTGCGGTTTTACGAAGATGGGGGTCTCCTTTAGAGGCCGCAGCCCCCAAATAGCCCTTCCCTCGGCGTGGACATCCACGCGTTTATAGGAATCCGTGGCATTGCCAGTGTCTCGGAAAACGTGGCTCAGATGCTCCCACGTGGAACCCCGCACCCCCTGCAAGTTAAAGGCCTTTGATGGTGACGAAGGCTCTTGCGCGTTGTGGCTCACGGATCATCCCCCGTCCCCCGATGCCCTGACAGATTTGCTAATCACGGCCTCACCAGTCACGTGTGGAAGTGTGGAATCTGATGGCGTGGTGACATAAATCCGTGGACCTTGGGAGACTGTGCACTGCCTTTCGGTGTGGGGTGCCCCTCTCTCTCTACGTAATCTTTTTGTTTCTGTCTTTTGCAGATCACATTTGACTCTGTCCCTCCTTTATGTTTCTGTGCATTTCGCATCTGCACTGTTTCATTATTATATTTCCCCCCCGGGAATCCCCGTGTTAACAGATATCAACATTTTTCTGTTCTTTTATTTTTCTTCTTTGACTGGATCGTATCTTTCTTCTGTTTTTTTTTCTTTTTCTCTCTTCTTTTTGGCAAACCTGTTGTTTTTGAATTCTCTTTTTTTCCCTCTATTTCCTCCCGCACGGTGCCCCACAGGAGCCAACACCAAGAAACATGCTGATGATATTACCAGTAATGACCGTGGGGACGACGAAGGTATTTTTTGCTTTTTTTTAACCCCCCCAAAGCTCGACCCCGGTGCATGATTTTGTATCTTTACTTTCTCTCTCTCTCGCCATATATAGAAATATAGATATACATTTTTGTTGTTCATTTCAACCTTTTTCTCCCCCTGTTTTTGAGACCGGCGATGTGCTTCTTTATTTTCTTCTCTGGGGAGATCACGGCCATTTTTACTCTCAGCGATCATTCTTAGATGCCTGCAAAGCCGCCCCACCCACCCACCCGCCCCAGGGCCCAACGAAGACAATGAACAGAGTATGTGTCTAAGAACACGCTCTTTCAAAGGAAAACCTCCTCTTTTTTATTATTATTTTTTCCCGTTTTTCGCCCGTTTTCTTCTCGTTCTTAGAAGAAAAACTGGATTTCTAGAACTTGCATGAACGACCCCTTTTCTTTCTTCAACGGCGGTTTCTGTCTCCAAACGATTGGCGCTTCACTGGAAACCACCCTGGTTTTTGGGGGAGGCCGGGGGGGGGGAGGGCCGGCATTTTCACTTCCGGCTTCTGGATTCCGTTTCTGGGGGTCTTTTTGTTTGTTCGTTTGTTTGCGTGTTTGTTTTCCTCCTCCCCCTTTCCACACGTGGGTTCTGGACGAGAGGACCCCGCCGGGTCTGACGGGGACACGTCTCGAACCGTGTTTTAACGAGATGTTGTTGTTTCTTCCAGGGTCTCAGAGGCCACTTAGCCCCACGTTAGAGAACAGACACACGTAGGCTTAGGCGTGGCGGGATGGACAGGCAGGTCAGGAAGCCAGCTGGAAGCTTCCCTGCTTCCTCACCGCACCCCTGTTTATTTCCAATCCCCGCCCACCCCACCTCCCATCCCCAAAGGGTCCAATTGCCACGGAAAACGCCCTTCTCATGTGGTCTGGCAAATGACCTCCGTCAGGGCGACGGTTTGCAGGAAAGGAAGAAAGAGGTGGCGGGTGGGTGGAATGCATTCCAACCCCAGCTTCCGGGTACCTGGCCTCTTCGACAGGGAGGATGGCTTTAAGCAAAAATGACAAGGAGCCAATGGCCATCTCCCCGGGGAGAAGATGTCTAACATGGATCAGAGCCCAGGTCCCCCGTCTGGGCAGCAGGGCAGCGACAATGCCCTTGATTGACAGCAGAGGATGAAGAAGGAGGAGCTTAAGGAGAAGTGGCCGGGTCGGGGCGTGGGGAGGGGGCAGTGAGTTCTCTCCGGTGTGTCAGCTCCCATTCTCTGCGGGCTCCCTTGACGAGGGCTCCACTTTGCCTCCATCTGGGGTTCCTTTCAAACACCAACAAGCCAGGTCTCCCCTGTGCAGGGTTCCTGTCCGGAGCCTTCCATCCCCACGCCTCTCCCTCACGGACCTGCGGTGGCCTCACAGGAGCCTCCTCCAGAGTCCACGTTGTCTCTCTGAATGTCCAGGTCCCCCGCGTGCCTGCCAATTGCCCTCGCCACCTGTGGACACAGCCGGACACAACTCTGTCCTCCTGTCCCCTCTTCTCCTCTACTGTTCCATTTCACCCTGCTTCCCTCTTTAGATGCATTTCATTGGCGCCCCAGGGGTCTCTCTGCACGGGCTTTCTTTTCCACGGAACGTCATGGCTGTTGAAAGGCTCTCTCACCCCCACGTAACGCCAGTGCAGGTGTGTCTGCTTTGAGGTCACCCTGACCCGTAGACCACGTGGCTCACACTCCCCTGGGACACGGGACGTGCCAAGAGCGGACTCCAGGGATGCAGGAACTCAAAGCAACATTCAACTCTCCCACCACAGGCCTCCTTCTCCATCCCATCCCCTCCTACAAGGGACCACCAACCGTGGTACACGAATAAAGGCAGGAGAATCCAGGCGGGAGTCCGAGCCCCGGGAGGTGCAGGGCCCCGTTCCCTTTCCCGACCACGTTAGCTTGGGGAGCTGCAGGACAAAGCCACGGGATGGGACACGCACGGAAAAGGATGAGGCCCGTGTCAGCTGGACGTGGGCTTTTCTGTGGGAAATCCGGAGACGGCGGAGGAGACATCAATGGTGGAGCAGCAAATACCTTCTTGCTTTTCCACATCGGATCGGCTCCGGCTTTGGTGCCCAGCCTCCGAGTCCCGTGCAGTCTACCCAACATTTTGGGGCGCCTACGCCGGCCCGAGGCCCCACCTCCTTCCCGTGGCAGGAGGAGGGTGCACCTCATTGCAGTCCAAACCCCCTCGCCTGGGTCGCGGGAGCCAACGCTAAGCGTGCGAGAGAGTCAAGCCCGCCGTTGGATGCTCTCTTTAGTGTCCTGGAATGGAGACCTGAACAACTGCACACGTCGATCCAGCTACGAGCCTTGCCGGAAAGCCCAGCCAACAGAGATTGCCCCCCATCGTCTCTACAACGCCTGCCAATTTTTAGACTCTTACACTCCCCCGCCCCCGGCCCCCTCAGTTATGGGGGCACCTCGGGGTACGCCTGGCTTGCGTAGCATGGAGGATGTAAACCAGGGGTCCTCAGACTTTTTAATCACGGTCCAGTTCACTGTCCCTCAGACCCATTGGAGGGCCCGACTATAGTTAATAAAAACAACTATGAACAAATTCCTCTGCACGCTGCACATCTCTTATTTTTAAGTAAAACACAAACGGGGCAAAAACACCCGGCGGGCCGGATCAATGTCTTCGGCGGGCCGCATGTGGCCCCCGGGCCGTCCTTTGAGGACCCATGACGTAGACTTTCTGAAGCCATTGTGCATTTCAGTGATGCCACCCATGTTCGTCTGGGCGGACAGAGAAACAACCTCATAGACACACGTGTGTACGGGAAAGAGCTTCATCTAATGAGTCGTTGAGCATTAAGAAACCATCCCAGCCCAGTCCAGGTTGAGTCCATAAGTCCAATATTAGCCCATGTGTCCAATACCAGTCTGTAAAGTTCGCTTCAGACTCATGCAGCACGTGCAATGACGCCGAGAGCAGAGAGATCACAGGCCAGTGGTTTGAAAGTCTTGTGGATCCAGGGGAGGTGGAAGCCTCTCAGGGCTGGCGTGGTCACCACGTGGCTCCTCCAGCTCCAGGGCCCTGGCTCCATCAGCGTGGCACATCCGTCTTGTCACCAGGAATCCATGCAGAGAGAGTCTGTGTGCTGCCTCCAGCGAACGATGGATCTCCCCGGCGCCTCCACAAATGAGATCATCAAGCAGCGACCCGATTGGTAGGCTAGACTCCACCCCTGTGCTTTTATAGCCTCGGGTGGCGCCAGGTGATGCCGTGACCACATGGCCTCACACAGGGTCTCCCTTTGATGCCCAGCCCAATGTGGGGGTGCGCCATCCAACCCGGATCAGAACCGCAGCCAGGAGCCCTGCTCGGGCTGCTTTTTGTTGGCCTGTTTTTCTTCAGTATATATTTTCCCCCCTTTCCTCTGTCGATCATTTTAAAACCCTCCCCCGGCTGCTGCGGTCGTCAGCCCCTGATGGAGCGTCATCCTGTGGTCACCTCGCTTCTTTTGGAAAAGTCCAGGAGACCCTCCTGCTCCCACGTCGGAAGACCGCCGGCTGCCGCACCGACCACGAGAGACCCCTTCTCTGTCGGCCGGTCCACCGAATCCGATGAGGGAAATCTGGTGTCCGCCGGCCACCTGGGGCATCTGTAAGGTCACCCAGCTCAGTTGGGGAACCCATGTCCCCAAGGACGCACCTGTTGATTTCTTCTCCGTTGTCTGGGCTTGGCTGTTAGCCTCCGTGGCAGACGTGGCACGCACCTGTTGATTTCTTCTCCGTTGTCTGGGCTTGGCTGTTAGCCTCCGTGGCAGATGTGGGACTCAAAGAACAGTGTCCGCCCTGCGCTCCCTTGTCGCCAAATCCAGGAAAACAGAGCCCCCTGGGGAGGAGCTTTCCCGCCACGAGATGCCCGTGGCTCTCACGCAAGCGTGGTTAGATTGCACTGGTGCAGGGCCACGAGTGGCCAGTGTATCTACCCCCTTTCTCCCCCAGTGTGTGTGTGTGTGTGTGTGTGTGTGTGTGTGCGCACCTGCACCCCGTGTCACCTGCCGGAGTCATCTTGTTCCCTGCGTGGCTCTCTGTTGCAGACATCCACGACCAGAACAGCAAGAAGCCCGTGATGGTGTACATCCACGGAGGGTCCTACATGGAAGGCACCGGCAACATGATAGACGGCAGCATCCTGGCCAGCTACGGCAACGTCCTGGTCATTACCATCAACTACCGGCTCGGCATCCTGGGTGAGTGACGCGTCATCGCCGGGGCCACGGCCGGGGTGAGGGGGTCTCTGCTCGCATGGCGTAGGGGCCACGTGCACGCAAACGTGGGCCTTCAGCGTTCTGAGAGCTCTGCTTTCCCAGAAACCCTCGCCGGGGTTTGTGCGCGTGCTCGAAGGCGTTCGCTCCGGGAAGACAGGGGCGGCGGCCTCTGTGTGTGCAAGCGGCCTCCTGGATCTGGTCGGTGGATTTCGGTGACTCTGATGTGGGGGAGGAAAGAGTTTGCTGGCTCCTGCTCGCAATGCTAGAAATACTGCATCATTTAAGGGCTCGCTCGTGGGAAATCCGGACTTCCAGGAAAAAGTGTTTCTGAACGTCATCAGTAAGGCTGTTCGGAGTCAGCCGGGCCATTGAATAAGCCAAGGGGCCCAAGGAGACCCCAGCGGAGCCCCTCCGAGACCCCCCTGGGGAAACGGATATGGTTTCCGGTGAAATCTACTCCTTTTATTGAGATTCTCGCCTGAAGCCTGGTTTGTAAGTCAAGCGAGTTTTTATGATGCCCGGGAGGGGGTTGAGGCTTCACAGTCTCTATAGAGTGCTTGCTGTTGCAGGGAAGCATGCCAAACCACGCGTGAGCCTCACCAGGGCCCACCACTGAACATGGACGACCTCGTGGGGCGGCGTGCCCGCACGTGGTGCGCTGAGGCCAGAGAGACCGTGGTACAGCCGAGCGGGCGCAGGAGCAGAGTCAAAGAGACCGCTTTCCGGCCGTCAGGGCATTTTAAACCTCTGGCTGGGTAGGCAGGCTAGAAGGTATTGGCTGAAGTCAGCCCACCTGGGCCAATTTGGGCAGCCCAGGTGTCCTGCCCACCTGGCCGGGAGTGGGGATGGGGCTGAATTGTAGCATGCACCTGTGATGGCTCACCTGATTCCTTCCCAACCTCCTTTATGGGGGGCTTGTGCAGGCACCGGGGGGACAACCCCCCTACCCCTCTCCTGGCCACCTCACACCTTGGCCTGGGGTGCTTGTCCACCTGTATTTGGGCACACCGTTTAAGGCGTATAACTTGTTTTATTTTCATGGGAACTGTGACGCAGTTTGGAGGTAGCGACCCCCCACCTTTTCCTTCTGCTCCGCGCTTTCAGGACTACACTTAGAGTCTCTCAAATCAACCCGTTCTTTCTGTTCTGGGTTAAACGGAGACGATTCTTTATTGCCCAACAACGTACCCCTGTTGAGAAATAAAAAGGGAGGCTTCACGGCCAACAGGTGCGAGTGGAGACTGGACTGAAGGTAAGTGGTGACTGTTTTCCTCAGGAAACGCCCGCGCTTCCTGAACATCCCACAGGGCCCGGGAGGAAGGAGGCGGGTGTCTGGTGATCTGATCTGGGGAAAGGCCTGAGGTCTTAGCGCTTCCATTCGGCTGTGGGAGTGGGTGTGTTTTATTCACGGCCTCTCACAGCAGGGTCTCGATCTGATGTCTCC